GAAAGACACTGTTGAATGAGCTCCAGATGGTCAGATACAAAGACTGTCATGTGATTTTACACAGCACAAGCTTAGAATAAGTTATTTTGTGAAAAACCTCCCCTGAAACCTCAAAACCTACTCTTGAGGAATACACAATCAAAACAAGTTGGAGTATTTGGGTAAAATAATTTAGTCTGGAGATACATTTCAATTTGTCTTTACAGCACATGTGAATTTTGGATTTTTTGGATTACTAAAATAATGTTGAAGATAGCCGTTAGTCACAATATTGGTTGAAAGCCAATGAAAACTGAACACCTCTCCTCTTGCCAAGAGGAAAATAAGTAAGGAAATCACTCAGGCCTGTCATATAATTTAAATGATCAGCATAAAAATGTTAACACTCACATTTACAAGTCAAAAAATGGCCAACATTTCTAGATTTAAGGTGACCGTAGAAACCTATTTCAAGTTGTTGAATGGTCTCTACAAAATCGAATTTGACTTCTTCTTCAAGGCCATTTTATCCTTAGCCTCCCTGTCAGAGTCTGTTTTCCCACTAAATAGCTTTGAGCATTCTAAAAGTTCTTGGTGCTTGAGAGAGACTGTACACAGCACTCCTTTTTTCCATGCTGGTCTTGCCTGTGGCTCTGTAGAATTAGACTGACACAACACCCCTTGCAGAAGGAAGCTTTAGTTAACTCATTCCTGTCATACTACAGTTTTTCCATCAGTTTTACCTGAAACATCTCCAGTTCACAGACACTGTGAAACTCAAAAGCCCAGTAACACAAACAGCTAACAGTCTTAGAAGTGAGCTCCTCCAAGGCAGGTGATGTCCATACCATTCAGTGGCACATCACTTAGAAAATATGCCTCATTGTTTCTCAGAGACTTATGTGATTTTACAGGTAACATGTATAAACACACACAGTACAGTAAGATAAAAAATTTTCTCGTATTAGACATAAGAATAACCTGCTGAGGTTAGGGTCTGGAATGCAGTTTCTGAGAAGTTATACCAGTGTTCCATTCCTATTTCAATAAAAATGGAAGTGTTTTCTTCCAAGGGGAATGTTATCCATAGAAAGACTGGTATTGAGTCTTGCAGTCAATGGCTGTACAATATGATCAGAAAAAACAGCGAACCAAGGTAAAAATCCTGCTTCAAATCAGTCAGAAGTGGATTCAAATTCAGATACAGATATCACTTGAGTAACCTAATTATGGTCATATAAAGGAGGGAAGAGGAAAATACAATCTCCATGGGATAATCTATACCTATTTTGTCTTGAATTAGCTCTTACTTCCAAGTAGTTTGTTTAAAAAATGAAACAATAGACATAAAATGTTATGCTATCAGTTTAATTTGGGCATAATATATTTTTCTGCTAGAGCCAAGAAATATTGTACTGACCAAAATAATGTTGCATGACCATGAAATTGAAGAGGTGACAAAAAGAAAAAGACAAAAAATACCTGAACAATACTCTTCCTTGTCACATTTGAGGCACTTAGTGGAAATTTTTTATATTACTCAGTTCAAGGCAGGTACCAGAAATGGAAAATTTCAACATAATGAGTTAAAAGTTCAAAAAAATGTTAAGCACCTTGGGACTAATGTCACCTAATGAAAAGTTGCATGCAGCTTTAGCTAAAGACCATGCTACCTGCTCCACTTTAAAGATTTTATTTATGCATGCAATAAACCCAGGAAAGGATGGAGAGACAAAACCTTTTCTTATGGATGAAATTAGCAATATTAAATTCTTCAAAATGGAACATACCCATGAACATAAAACATTAACTTGATGTAGTGGCTTGGACGCAACTATTGCACAAAAGAAAATCTACTGCTCTCAATACCTTACATAAAATGATTTTGGAAAATGGTAGAAGCCACTAAAACCCTTGGCTTACTGATGAATCTGTACAAATATTTAGAGATGCAAAGCAGGGAACACAACAAATCTATTGGTAAAGGTTCACATAGAACTTTATTGCCCTGTAGGAAAGTAAAGAATTTTAGGAATCTTTATAATCCTGTTGGGCCTGTAAAAACAGAAACAAAGAGAGGTCAAAGGATTTCAATGGATGGCCAGGTTGCAAAGCATGTGCACAGTGAAATACTTTAATTTCAGAAATTACTGTGGACAATAGCTAGTATCAAGACTACTGAAGTCTATTGATTTCAGTAAGAGTATTCTAAATCATTAGAAATGATAAATTTTATTAGTAAAACTATTGTAAATATATATTTCACAAAACAGGAAGTTACAATGCACATGCACACCAGCCACCAGCACAATCCAAGTATTAAACTTCCAAAACTCAGGCGTTGGAACAATGTCAATAGCTTTCTTGTCTATTTTTCTAATCAGAGATCAAAGCATGCAATTTCAAGAAAGCAAGTCCAAATGTCTGAAGTATAAATATTTACATTGTGCAACTATTCATCAGAGGAAAGAAGCTGAGCAACCCCTAGTGGTAGCAGAAAAATACCTTCTGGAAAAAAAGCAAAATTTTTTACAGGTATTTTCAAAAATACATTAATTTGTAAACACAAATTCCTATATTATATGTAGTGTCCAAAGTTGATGATAACATTTAGAGAAAACAAAACCAAAAAATTTATGCATGATTCATAGCCATTTTTCCTTAGCATTCAATTAGGAAGTGTTAATTTTGTTTGATAAAACACTCCAATATATAAGTCTTATAATATATTTAGAAGAATCTTTTAATGTATTTTTCTGAAAGAGAACATGTTTTGTTTTCTAATTCTAAGATGTTCTAATGCAGCTTCTGCCAAATTCAGCATCACCATTTAGGGAAGGATTTGTAAACTCCCTACTAGAGAAATGCAAATATGATATTAAAAAAAAAGGCTAGACCTTTTTGTATTTTTGTAATGTGGTTATCTAGAATTCAGTTTTATCAGCTCTCATCTATAAATTGTCACTTTTTCTTCCTTCTTTTATGCTTAGAAATAAGAAAGAACACTGCCAGTACAAACTATACTTTCTCTCCATTAACTTTTTTGAATCTCACTCCAGCTGAGTGAGATTTTCTGTGTTAGCCATCAGCTGCTCAAGATTTTCACGCATAACTATCAGGACGGAGTAAATACAAAGGCAGAGATGAATGCTGCTAGTAAAATCAATGACAAACCATATCTGAACTCTCTAAAGTCTTTCACAAGTTATCTATACACTTGTATTAAAAGGAAAAGCCCTTGCTCCACGGACACCATGCCTCCAGCCATGACCAAATTAGAGGGACAGACTTCATGAAGTCCAGGTCATTTCACATACCATGACTCTGGATATTACAGGTATTACAGAAATAAAAGAATGAGCCCCAAAGTACTCCCTCCTTTTTCTAGAAAATGTAATGTTGCAGACAGTATTTCCAAAATCAAAGACAACAATAAGACATAAAATCACACTTAAAGGTGCACAACTAAAAATCACTTCAGATCTCAGTTCTTGCTTTTCACTGTTTCTAAGGTGACTCTTAAAACTGATTTTCAGTCTAAAAATTAATTTAGGCAGAAAAAGCTCATTGCTGGAACACCTGCAGCTTCTCCAAAGTTGACAAAAAGAGATCTCAAGAGACTTGAAGTCAATCTCTAACATATCATCACACACTGGGAAAAAAACAACCAGACAAAAAAATCCCCCAAAATTTGACATGCCATCATTATACTACTATAGCATTTTGTGCTGAGCTGTCACAATCAGCACAGCAGAAACTTGGGTGTGCACTGAAAACCATCAATTTCAGTGCAGAGGTAGCACAAGACTCCTGTGATTGACTAATGGCTACCAATGTCAGAGACAAGAAGTCTGACATACAAATCTTATGTTAACAGGAAAAAAGAACAACATAACAAGTATCTTGGATGAATTTGTGAAAATATTCTTATAAATATTTTTAAAGATCTCTGACTTCTTACTGGAAAATATGTATGATTTTACTAAAAATAATCTAGTTATAAGGCATAGTACAGTGTGTAGTCCTGTGTTGTCTAATTAATAAAGACAGCTGAACAGAACTTTCATTTTTATCACATTCAAGAAACTTTTTGCCACGCTTAAAAGCATCTTGAATTGAATCACATGAAAATGAAAATATACCTCCAAGTTGTTGAGATGCTGTTTTTCAAGGAGCCGTTGCATTTCTTTCAGATTTTTCTGGAAGAGAAGTTGGTGATTATCCTTGTTCGTTCTACTGCTCTCCTGTATTGCTCCATCACAGCCAAACATTGCTGAATTCTGCTTCTGATGCATCAACTGTACATTTTTAAATATGTTTCTTACCAAAAGTATACACCATCAATAATTGATGAAAAGCTCGACAAATTCAGTACTATCTGATAGTGTCCAACACTTTCCATTTTAAAACTTAAAATTTTTCTGTTATTCATAAATAGAATTTTCTGACTGAGTTGTTGGGTGACTGCCTCAGGCTTCATTAATATGGAAAATGTCAGCCAACAGTTTGGTAATTTACAGAAACGGAACATGGAGGGTGTTTTTTTTTTTTAAAAAAAAAGAAACAAACAGGAAAATGGGCTTTATTTTTCCATAAAGTTGGATTATCAACTATATTGATGCTGTCAGGTATTCTCTTACTTCAAAGAGCAAGAAGGCTTTCTACAACCCAGAGAGCCCAAATCTACCAATGATGTGTAATGTCAGTATTTTGATATGTTAAAAGAATTGGAATTTGCTGCCTGACAAAAAAATCTTTAAAGTAGCTAATGTAGTTGGGCCCTGAGACCAGCTCTTAGCTGAAGATAAATGTTTCACATAGGTACAGAAATTTAATAACCTCTTTCCTTAATTTCTATCCATTTCTTCAGCTTATGGTCTTTCTTCTGAGCCTTCTCTTCCTGCACCTAAAATTTTACCTTTTTAGTGAATCTGTTTCAAGTGGGTAAATAATCTAATAAGACCTTTTTTTTTTTTGATTTATCACACCACTTATAATTTCAGGGTAATAGAAAATGGAAACTTTCAAACCATTAAGCATTAAGAGTATTGTTATTTTTCAGGAGATTTTATACAAGACTACAAAAAACATTGGCTTAATTGCAGTGACCTAAGGAGAGCCTAAAATAGAATTTATTATTTCTGATGAGATGGCTGACAGCAAAAAGGGGGAACAAATGCAGACATTTATTTATTTAAGTCATTAAACTGCATGCTGTTTTCTTTTGAATGGCAGATGTCCTCCCTGTTCCAAAAATTTTTTGTTACTGTGGTCCAGACTGACAGACACCTGGCCCCCAAAAATCATGTTTGTCGATTTTTTTGACACATACAGCTTTATATTTATTTGAGTGCTTAGACCATTCATATTTATAAGAATTTCTGCACACTTGGACCATTTATATTTATAAAAGTTTCAACATTCCAATTTTTCCGTGGACCATTTTTGATTTACCATATTAAAATGTATATCCCATGATTGAAATTCATCAAACACAGCAAATTTACACACCAACAGGGAAATACATTTTGTACAAAGAGCAGCATGCCACACCTAATGTACAAACATCCCAGTGTCTGTTGGGTAATGAGTTCTCCAAAATCTTCGCTTTAGCATTCAATAACTCCTACTAAATCCTACTAGAAGCAAAATGGCTCTACTGCAGCATGGAATATACTTATTAGGTCTTTCAGGACTTTCACTTTCTCCAAAAGGAGTTAATATGTCTCCATTACTTAATTTATTTTTTTACACCTTTTAAAACACAGACATTAAAAATTCTAGAATCTTTTAAAATTCACAGTTATTCAGTTGGGTCTGAAGGGATATTTATCTTGCATACTTAATGCACTACTCATTTCCCCTTTAACAGGGGACTGTCAATGAATTCTGTGCTTTCTATTTCTGAGGAAGTGTAAATTCTAAAGGTGACACAAGACTTATGGCTTCATCATTTATAGAATTGTAAGAAGCAATAGAAATATTGAAAGGCATCTACTACTTCAGATGAGTTAGCTATTACCCATCCCAAAATTTCCAATTAAAGGCATCATAAGAAATGTTTGAAGCTTTATAGCTCAGAACTGGTTTTGAAGAACCTTCACTGGTCAGAATCTTCTCAAAATGCTCTTCTGTTTTCTCTGCACTAGCTGTCTTTTGACCTCCCAATAGGTCACAATGGACTCAACTTTTAAACCTTTCTGATGCTAGCGTCACATATTTTCATTTTTTTCCTTGAGCAATTTCTAATTTCAGACTTACATAAATGTAATTAACTTTGAGATTCTTAGCTTTCTCTCAAATTTGGTTACTAAGGGAAAACAAACCATAAAGGAATATGAACATATAATTTTAATTTCCTTAGGAAATCAGGAAAAAGAACACACTGTCATTATTAAAGAATAGTGAATTTTTAAAACTATACAAATTAAAATGGAGTGATGGCATTGTAAGAAATGGTATGTACAAGTCCTGAGATATCAGTGTGTTGCACAAGAAGCAGTTTGAAAAAAGATGAAAAATAAAGAAAAAAATTATTAAGGCAGTGAGATGCTGTCCTTAATCAAGCCTGTGAGTGAAATGAGACAAATGATTATGAAACCTGAGACAGGTTTCAGAAACTCCTATATTATTGCCATAAATTAAAGTTAGATTTAACAGGTAGATTTCTTGTTTGTTTCTTTGTTTTTGTTGCTGCAGTATTCCTATGAATGTTGACTAGAAAATAGCATGAGTGTTAAGCTCTACGAGTTATATTTTCCCAACTGACCAGTTTATCACCTGAAAATGTGTTAATCAGCAGAGATATGTAAACAAGTTGAGTAATAACATCACCATGAAGAACACACTGAAACTCAAAAGTAGGGAGACCCATTTCAGGCAGAATTTATCTCTATTCTGTGAATATCTGCACAATTTATACCATACAGAAAATAAATTAAATGCGGAAAGCAATAACAAAAGAAGCAACAACAAAAATAACCCCCTGAGTTGAAATGTTAAAGAAATGAGAGGTTAGGAAAGGGATAATCAGGAACTAGTAGGAAATACAGCAGATAAATAAAGTGTGTATGAAGGAACATTGTTATAAGTCAAGGTATCTTATAAACAGTGCTTGGGTAGAATGAAAGGCATGCAAATAAAATTTTATGTGATAAAAATGAAATTACAGGTCAAATTGTTGCCAGAACACTCTCGATTCATGTAAGGAATGACAAATATAAAGGAATGACAGCTGGAAAGAAGATCCTTGGGAGAACATATAAACTAGAGTATCCTTGAATGTCAAAAGAAAAGCAATCTGGATAAGAAATCACCTAGAAAGAACCATTCTGAGAACAGCAAATGGATTGATAACCATGACAATCTGAGTTAGGTAATAACTGACTGAAGGCCGGATTAGTCTTGACTATTCCCAGAATTCCACTGAGGGGAAAAGGTTTGTGTCATCTCCTCTGCTGTCTTACCAACTGGACACAAACAACTCAAGGAAATTGCATAATGTTTAATTGGAAAAGTTCACAGAAATGCTTTCTTTGCCATGAGAGAAATGCCCTACAATTTCTTAAAGGTAATTGTCCTCTGTTTATTGAATATTCAGAGTAAACAGGAATGCTTACCTGAAGTTGATTTTGTTTATGTTTGGCAAGCCCAGTCCTGGTGTTAAAACTGATCCTTTAATCTGTTCAAGAGCTTCTTCTAACTGAAAAGCTGCTTTTGTCTGGACTGGAGGGATCACAGCTAAAAACACACAATGGGGGAAAGGTTTTTAAAAATTGCAATATTTTACCATAAATGGTTTGGTTAAGTTGTTGAAGTTTGGAAGCCTAAATCCAGACAGTTACAATAAACACAGTAGTTTAGCATTATTAGACATGCAAGAGCGCTTCAAGATATTCTGAAACAAAATCCCAGTCTATTTAAGTGTTTACAGTCACACATGTATTCAACAGTTTTGCTATTTGCTTTTAAACTGTTGTACTGTTGAAAAAATATGAGGTTAAAAAAATCTAACTTTGTTTTTACATCATGATTATTCCCCTCATGAACTAAGCCAAAGTTATGGCTTGCAGATATTTTACAGAGGCCAGATTGTAACTTAATAATTGAACCAGTGGGGAAAGAAGGAGTCCAGACAGGCACAATGTACCACTTTCAAGTGAGTAGAAGTAGGGTAGAGAGTAGCAGAGGCAGAATTTCTTTAAAAGAAAACCAAGAGAAAAAAATGTGATTCCTTCTATTGCTACACAGTCTGGGCTGTCAGTGGAGTTATGAAGAAGCCCTAAACCAGTACTGTTCTATTTTGTTATTTTAATCTGACATTTGATCTTGAAGTCAGAGACATTACCTCACAGCTGGCACAACTACAGCTGGGAGAGTAAATCTGTTAAAGAATACCTAAGTAATAGACCATATCTTAAGCATTTGAACACTGGAAAGTTGACGGGAAATCAGACTTGGCCAATGCTCTTACAAACTCATGCCAATCTGCACTGATTCCAAGAAAGCAGGAACTGAGCTGAAGTGATCATTGCTTCCCAGCAAGAGAACAGCTTAGAAAGTGGACTAATTCAGAAAAAAAAGAAGTTATGTACCATATTAATATATGCTAGGACTGCATTTACTTAATGATAAATAAAATGCACATTTTCAAATATTTTTCTATTCAAAGGTTCAAAGAAGTGATCATTATGCTATCCTAGTAACTGTCAGTGGCCTTGTAACACCTCTCAGCCAGCCGTGAAAGCACAGTACTGCAATACTACAATAGGCACATTGCAGTCAAAAAGGTGGGGAAAACCCAGGAAGCCACAATACCTCAAGGAGGTCATGTACTTATGTACTGTGACTCAAATATAGTGAAATACCTCACAGTACAGTTTCTAGGAGAAAAAAAATCTGGTTTTATTTCCCCTGCCTAATTGTCATATTATCAGATCTGAGCTTCTTGTCAGTTGTTTTCCAGTTTCCCTTCCAATCTAAAGTGTTCTATGATTCTGTGACTATAAAAACACTTGTATTGTAAATAATGGTTAATTTTTAATTGACAAACCTGTTTGTTTGTGCTGAGAAAAGGACTGATGAGCATGTTGGAACTTAGCAGTTGCCTCCTGAAATTTAATCCTCCTCTGCTGCAGAACTTGTTCTCTAAATCTTTGTTCTTTTGCTTCTACTTCCTTCTGCCTTTCTTCAAAGGCTCTGTATTTAAGAAGCAAAAGAAGATTATTCCTATGTTTGTGAATTACATTTACCAAAATATTAGTAACTTACCTGCTTACCCACTTGCTAT